TTTTTTTTGGTGTTTGGGCTTGGTTTGTTGTGAGTTTTGTCGATTGGTTGGTGGTGTTTTTGTTTGTTGTTGTGGGAGTAGGGAGAGTGGTTAAAGTATGGGGGGGAGAGGCTGAGAGGGAGGGGGAGGTTATATGGGATGTGGGGGTAGGAGGGTGTGGGGAGAGGAGGAGGGAGTGGATGGGGGGGAGTATGGGGGGACAGCGAGGAGGGAGTGTGGGAGGTGAATAGGAGGGGGTAGGAGGGGTGTGGGGAGAAAGAGGAGGAGGGGTAAGGGGTGAAGTATGTGTGTGGAGAGGATTAGGGGGAGAGGGAAGAAGGAGGGGGAAGGGGAAGGGGGAGGGGGAAAGGAAGAAAGAGGATAGGGGTGTGGAGAGAGCAAGGAAAGGATGAGAAAGGAGGTGAGATGGAGCGGGAGGGGGGAGGGGAAGGGGTAGTTGAAAAAAGGAAATGTAGGGGAGAGAAGAGGGAGTGTGGAAACAAGGGGAAGGAGGGGGTTGTATGAAAAACAAAGAAGAAAGAAGGCAGATAAGCAAGTGAAAGAAGAAGAGAGAAGGAAAGGCATGGAGGGAAGTGTAGGGGAAAGGAAAGGGGAGGAGAAGAATAGGAGAGGAAAGAGGGAGATGTAGGAAAAATGAAGAGGGGAAGGGGGAAGGGAGGGTAGATGGGGGTTGTAGGGGAGTGGAAGACAGGGTGGGGGTAAAGAGGAGGGGAGTAGGAAGGTATAGGAGAGGAAGGAGGAGATGGGTAGAGGGAGGAGGAGGCAGCTGTAGGGGAAAGGAGGAGGGAGGATGTAAGGGAAGGAGAGAGGTTGTAGGAAGAAAAAGGGCGAGGAAGGAGAAATGGCGGAAGGAAAGAAGGAGAGTGAAGAAGGAAGATAGGGGAAAGGAGGGAAGGAGTAAGAGGAATCGGGACAGGAGGATGAGGAGAGATATGAGATGAGGGGACAGAAAAGGAAGAAGTACAGAGAAAAAGGGAGAACAAAGGAAGAGGAGAGGATGAACAAGGGAAGAGGAGGGAAAGGAGGGAGAAGAGGGCAAAGAAAAAGGGGAAGTAGAGAGAAAGATGGAGGACAAAGGAAAAGTGGTTGTAGATGAATGGGAACGGAACGGAGGAAATAGAGGAAAGACCGGGCGAGAAGAGCGTGGAGGGAGAAAAGGAAAGAAAACGAAGTGAAAGGAAGGAGAGCTAAGCGGAGGAAAGAAGTAAGGAGGACACGAAGAGTTCTGTATTTGCCTGTCCTTCCTCTTTCGACTGATGGACAGAAATACCTCTTGATTAGTCGTTCTATCTTCAGAATTACCCAACCGAAGCAAAAAGATATAAGAAAGACGAGTCTCCAAATACGCGTCTCGTACCGAAATGGAATCTATTTCGTGATCGCAATACACTGGCCATTGTTTCGCGTCTTTATGCTCGTCACGTAATCGCATTCAGTTATGGTGACTACCTGCAATCGATCGCTCATTTGCACAGAAGGCCTCTCCATCACGCTCGGACTCCCCCCGCTTCTCTGTTGGGGTTGAATTCACCTCTGCATAAGAGCTTGTCCTCTCGGTAAGTACGTTGAGCGACTTGAACGCAATGTATATATTATATATATATATATAATATATATATATATATTATATATATTTACATATAGTATTATAGTATGATAGCACAATGGGTTTTATTATATATATATTATATATATATATATATAATTATATATATATATATTATACATTATATATATATATAATAGCATTATAATATATATATTATATATAATAATATATATATATAGATATAATATATAGTAGGTATATATATATAGTGTTTTATAATATATATATACATAATATATATATATGTATAAATATATATATGTATATATATATATATCATATATAGTTATAGTATATATATATATATTATATATATAGTATTATATTATAATATATATACTATATATATTAATATATTATTAATATAATATATAATAGTATTATAATATTATAATATATTATATATATATATATATAATATATATATATATATATTATAATATATTATATATTATATATATATATATATCATATATATATATATATATATATATATATATATATTATTATATATATGTAGATATATATATATTTATATATATATCTATGTATGTCCGTATGTCTTCGTCCCCAAAAGCAGTCTCACAGTCGAGTGCGTCTGGCCGCAATGGACGCACTAGTTCCCAAAGCCAACCCACAACATATACACCTCCCTTTCACCGTGATAGAAATAGAAATCCCTTCCAACCTCCACCTTCTTATGGCCGCACAGTCATCAACACCGTATCATCCCACCGACCGGAGACAGCTGGTCGCCTCTCACGTCAGCTGTTCCAGTCGCCGGCCGGCCAGCTGATCAGCAGCACTCACCTTGGGGGAGGGCGAAGACGAGCGTCGCCGCGAGAACGAAGTAAGCCACCAAGAATAACATGGTGGAGAGACTCCTACATCCTGCAAAGGAAAAATGACTGGCTTAGTCTACATGGGGTATACTGTAGTTCTTAGGTAGGGCATTGTAACGGATATCCCTAATACTGATACCTGTGTAAATAAGTTACGCAAAAATGACCTTGAAAATGATGGAAACAAGAATAATATCAACACTATAGATATTGCAGTAATTCAATTAAACGCTTATTTAAATATCTTAATGGCTTTACGGCATAAAAGAGATAAAAAAATATTTACAGTATGAGCAAGTTAACAGGTGTTGCTCTAAATGATAATTGACCACTGATGCAATTTTAGTAGTGCATAATATTGTCATTATAATTCTAGTGAGAAGGCACAAAGCGCAATGTTTTAGTGGATGTATAAGATATGAAGTTAACACATGGTGCCTTTGTGTCCTATGCATGCTGTCATGTTGCATGATACCCCAAGATTTATGTTGTATTAGCCCGGAGTCCCGCTGAGGAACAATAACTATTCCCATGAATATAAGTCCGTGTGTGGGCATGATGCAGCTGGCTTTTAGTCTACAAAGTATATAATGAATGCTTTACCTTTGCACTTGCAGTGTATATATAACATTCATCAAAGCTACTTTGTTATTATGTGCAATAGGAAAAATATTTATGAACATATCTGGTCTTTCGTGAGTTGCAACTATTGCAAGATGTGGGAAAGGCCCTGTTTTCTGGAATGTGTAATCAATACGTAATGCACACAAATATAAACACATGCAAAAAACAAGTGCACATAGGCATACACGCACAAAGATACACACACACATTCTCTCTTTCTCTCGCTCGCTCGCTCTCTCTCTCTCATACACACACAGGCAGATTAAAACAGGAGCTTCGCGAAATATAAGCGATATGTGCTCAAGGGTCCTAATAAGGAGAGGATTGATATATGAGATATAATCATAATGATAGACAAATAATATATTTGGGCATAGTATAGACCACGAGATTTATATAGATTGTTTACGCATGAAAGGAAAATAAAATTGGTATAGAAAGGCCCATTTCTACAGTTGTACTGAGTGTGAGTTTTGTTCCAGTGTGAAAGAGGAGGAGAAACCGATAGACCAGAAGAAAGACGAGAGTTAGAAGTTAGAGAAAAAAGAGAAGATGGATGAAAGGACGGATATATAAACAGACAAACAAATGAAAGGACTGGTAGAGAGAAATAAAAGAGAAAAGAATCTAAACAGAATGGAAAAAAGTGTACAGGAATAAAATCATATCAATAATATGGGTGGAAAACAGAAAATGGAATAGAGAAATTAAAAAAAAAAAGTTTCCCTATGTACCTTGGTGTGGCTGGCGTCTGCTTTACCAGTATGGAATAAAGGAAAATAATAAAGCTTCCATTCTATACGTGTAATACCAGTGGCGCATCCCATTTTATGATCTATAGTTATTTGCGCCTCGTCCTCGAAGTGAGAGTTCGTAGAAATTTGAAGGAATTTTTCTTATTCTTTCTCCATTACATATAGCAGAGTTCTGAGAATAATATAAAAATGTTTTGCACTCGGATGTTTAGAATGAATGTCAGCGTAAAGAAATGAATATGAGTATAGATGATGAGTATTATGTTCTCTGTGCACGCAAAGTAAATGTATTAATGTACAGAACTATTTGAACAGAAAATTATGCTTCCATGCGGAGCGTACATAAAAGGTATCATAGACCCCAAGTATACAAAACACATCGCAAACACATATCACAATCTCACATTAATCACCCAGTTTTTTACATCCCTTGGACTCCCTTCCCCCTCCCGTGCACCCCCCCCTTCCTATCACCCCCCCCCCCCAACAGGACCTCTCAGATAAGCCTACTGCCAGATGTTGCCTGTGGTCACTAGCTACTTTTTTTCAATTAAACTATTTGTTTTTCTTTTTTATCAGAACCTCTCTCTAGGCGCACATTCAATTTATGATTGAGGTAAATATTTACACAGTCAGGTATTACATCTTTTTACTCTCTACCTATTTCTCTGTCAAACTATCGGTCTATTTGGCAATTAGTCTATTATATGTCTGTATGTCTGTTTGTCTATCTATTTCTGTATTAGTCAATCTAGCTATCTCTCTCTCTATCTATCTATCTATCTATCTCTATCTATCTATCCATATATCTTTCCATCAATTCATCTACAAACCCATCCACCTACCTTACACCCCTCCCTTCCACCCTTCCTATCTACCTACTTACCTACCTTTACCTACCACTGTTTCTCGCTCCCTCCCTCTTTTCCTCTTTCCCGACCTTCCTCTGTCTCTTCCTTCCTACCTACCATCTACCTATCCTCGTGCCACCCTTTTTTATATTTTTTTCCTCTTGTTCTCTTCCCTTGTGTCTTTCTCTTGCTCTCTTCTCTTCCCTTGCCTCTCTCTCTGTTTCTGTCTCCTCTTTTCTCTCTTTCTCCCTCACTCTATCCCTCATATCGCTCTTCTCTTCTTTCTTTCTCTTCCTCTCTTCCTTTCTCTCTCTCTCTGTCTGTCTGTCTTTCTCTCTTCTTTCTTTCTTCCTCTCTCTCTTTCTCCGCCCTCTCTCTTCCCTTCTTTCTTTCTCTTCCTCTCTTCCTTTCTTTCTCTCTGTTTCTCTTTCTCTCTCTCTCTCTCTCTCTCCCTCTCCTCTCTCTCCTCTCCTCTCTCTCTTTCTTTCTCTCTCTCTCTCTCTCTGTCTCTCTCTGTCTGTTTGTCTGTCTTTCTCTCTTCTTTCTTTCTTCTCTCTCTGTCTCTGCTCTCTCTTTTCCTTCTTTCTTTCTCTTCCTCATTCTTTCTCTCTCTCCCCCTCTCCTCCTCTCTCTCTCTCTCTCTCTTCTCTCATCTCTCTCTCTCTTCTCTCTCTTCTCTCTCTCTCTCTCTCTCTCTCTCTCTCTCTCCTTAACAACCATCATAGACGAATCCCAATTCAAGGCTGCGTGTCCCATCTCGACCAAGAATTCTTTCTCCCTTTCACTTTTTTTTAAAATTCAGATCCCTTTTAATTACACTTCGGTTCCTCTCCGCTTTAGGGTTGAGTGGCTATAAGGTCAGTCGGAACGAAAATCAGACAAATATCACTAAAGTTTTTGGGGACTGATTTCATATGTCTTTGATGGCATTTGATTTCGATTCTGAGATAGATTTGAGAGGGTAGGAGAGTCGGGGGATGGGGAGGGAGGGAGGGGAGGAGAGGGGGGGTGCAGGGAGGAAGGGAAGGAGAGAGGGATGGAGGGATGAAAAGACGGAGCGAGAGAGGATGGAAGAGAGGGAAGAGGTGTGTGTGTGTGTGTGTGTGTGTGTGTGTGTGTGTGTGTGTGTGTGTGTGTGTGTGTGTGTGTGTGTGTGTGTGTGTGTGTGTGTGTGTGTGTGTGTGTGTGTGTGTCTGTGTGTCTGTATGTGTGTGTATGTGTGTGTGTGTGTGTGCGTGTTTGTGTGGGCGTATACATAGATAAAATCTATAATCCATTACTTCTTTTTATATCTATACTCTGTACTTTAAGTCTTACAAAACAACAACAACAACAAAAAAAAAAACAGGAACCCATTACCATAATGGTTTCGTCTGGAATTTGTCATCTATAAGCAAGAATAACGATTCCAATCATTCTGTCGATTTTCCTGCAATTCAATTACGCAACATAAGAGTTGTGTGATGATGGTACTTTTGTTGGCTTTTGATACCATTCCTCTGTGGTTTCTGTGGTGATGGTGGTGATGATGATGGTGACATAAAGGAAAATGATAATGAAAATAATATTGAAAATGATGATAATGATAATAACAATAATAACAATAAAAATACAATGATAACAATAATAATGATAGAAATAATAATAACAACAATAAGGATAATTATGAAGATATCTACAATGATAATAATAACAATAATTATAAAGACGATAAAAATCATAAGAGTAATTATAATAACAACAATAATTATGATAATAATAACAACAAAAACAATGATAATAATGATAATAATATTGATAATATGATATATAATAATAATAATAATAATAATATAATAATAATAAATAATAATAATAATAATAATAATAATAATGAGAATGATAATAATAACAATAAAAATAACAATAATAACAATAATGATAACAAAACACAACAACAACAACAACAACAACAACAAGCAACAACAACAGACAATAATAATAATAATAATACCAATAATAATGATGATAATGATAATAATAATAATAATATCAATAATAATAATTAAAATAACGATAATAATAATAATGATAATAATAATAATAACAATAAAAATAATGACAATAATAATGATAATAATATGATAAAAAAAGATAATAGTAATAAGAATAATAACAATAATAATAACAAAAATAAAAGATGATACAAAATAATCATAACTGTATCAATGACGATTAATATAGTAATAATTACAACAATAATTATAATAAGGTTGATAATAATAATAATGATAATAATAATAATAATAATAATAATAATAATAATAATAATAATAATAATAATAATAATAATAATAATAATAATAATAATAATAATAATAATAATAATTACAATCATAATATAATATAATAATAATAATAATAATAATCATGATAATAATGACAACAATAAATGATAATAATGATACAAGCAAGAACACTGATTCTTTCACCACGAAAGAAGTATAAAAACAAGAACATCAACAATAGTAATAATCATTGGAGCACACAAAAGAAAAAAAGGAAATTGAAAGAACATTGATAATAACACAACAAAAAGACTACGAAATGAGAATTTGAAGTTCAAAGCAGTAGCATCGTATAGGTGAAGAAAAAATAGTACATTTTGACAACAAAATCCAACATTTGCGAAGAATTACTTGTCCCAGCCGTCATAAAATTGTATCCACGGACTGGCAACACCGACGTTGGCGAAGTGTTGCCATATGCTCGGTCTGAGATTAATAAGACATTTCGATATCGCATTTTTGCTTGAGTTATTGTCACGTTTTGGAATTACA